AAAGTGAATGTAATCAATAGATTAGCATCAGAGAGTGTATCTGTACACTGGCATGGGATGCATCAAAGGAACAGTAACTGGATGGATGGAGTGGAGCATGTTACACAGTGTGGTATACCCCCAGGAGCTAGTTTTACTTATATCTTTAAAGCTGAACAATACGGGACTCACTGGTACCACTCTCACAGTGGAGCTCAGAGAACTGATGGACTCTTTGGAGCTCTCATTGTTAAAGAGAAAGATATAGAAAAAGTGATAGATGAAATTGGTGATTTTATAGATATACCATTACAGCATACGCTAACACTCCTTGACTGGCAAGTATCAAATTCTATTGATCTATTCACACGGATTCATTCCGGTATCAGATACTATAATATAGACAGGGCAGCTGATCTAAGGTCTAATCCAGCCTCTAAACGTACCTACTCATCAGATGGTGCTGAAGTGGGTCCTGTTCCTTATTGGTCCGGGATAATAAATGGAAAAGGAAGACATGGAAGTGTTCCTTATGTTAATTCAGAACTGAGTGTATTTGAAGTATCTCCTGGTAGTGTGTATCGTTTCAGGTTGATTGGTGCTCAGAGCTTATATGCTTATCGTTTCTCCATTGACAGGCACACACTGACAGTAATAGCGACTGATGGACAGTTTGTGGTACCAATTGAAGTGGATTTCATCATAATACACTCTGGAGAGAGATACGACTTTCTTCTTCAAACGAAAAACAACACGTCACAAAATGATTATTTAATTCGTGTGGTAACGCTAGAGGTGAACAGCGATCAAGAGTGTTGCTGAAGCTATTCTCCATTATGATACAGGTCCTTATCCTAAAGCTATTGATTATGAGAGAATAGCTAAAAGCTCAGAAAGTGATGCTGTTAGATGCACCGAATCCTCCAACTGTACAGCTCTTAACTGTCCTTTCCTAGTCTACCCTCAATCTTACTACATCAGTTGTGAACATATTCATAACCTGAGGTTACTCTTTCCTGTATCTGATACTGATCTACCTACTAACAATGCTAAAGGTAAGACTAGCCTCTTCTTTAATTTTGGTTTTGAAGGAATCAGTCAAACCAGTGCTATCAATGGGCGTAACTTAAGGCTGCCCTCATCTCCGCCTGCTTTGTACGATACTCCGGAAAACCTTTACCAAGAATCCTGCAAGAACCTCAACACAAACTGGGAGTGCGATGAGATTGATACTGTTATTGATTCCGACTGCTATTGTGCTCATGTTGTCAACGTGAGCAGTGATCATACCAATAATGAAAATGTAATAAAAATTTGGGGTGATTTCGGAGCTATTTTTCGGAAAAAACCATGGGCTGTATTGTATAGCCTTGGGTATTTTTCAGATTTTAGCCGTTTTCTTAAAATGGCCGTAACTTGAAAAATTGAAGTCGGAATCAGCTCAAACTTTCTACACAGCATAAGGACATCAATATGTATCAGAAAATGTAATAAAAGTTTGGGGTGATTTCGGAGCCATTTTTTGGAAAAAACCGTGGGCTATAGTACAGGGTACTTTTCAAAATGACACAATAATGAGTACTTCAAAACCACACCCTAACCACACCTACCTTACAAAGTCCATTAAACATTGAATTAAAGAAGACAAGAACAGCTCCTCTGGTGACTTTAGAAATATTGTAGAGAGACTCACAAGCATAATAACGGACCTGAGCATCTTGATCATCAAAACAAACCAACACTGGCTGAACTAGCTCTGGTAGATTCATACCAATACAAGACTGAATGGAGAGAGAGGGGGAGGGAC